TAGGTTAACAGTTGGACTTGATGATCTTAAAGGTCTTTTCCTACCTAAATGATTCTATGATTCTACTTCAGCTATGCATCAGGTTATTTTAAGTTATAAAACACGTAATGGAGACAGTGGAAGATGCATGGCATAGGAATATTCTTCCTAGCATCTTATAAAACACCTTAGTCACCTGGGGAGAAAAAAAAAAAACAACAACAAAAAAACCCAAAAAATACACCACTTCATTTGCACCAGAAACAATAGCACTCACAGAGTGCTTCTGTTTTGGCTATCAGAGTTTGTTGAATGAAAGCATATATCTATATTTAGTTGTGTAAAGTCTGGAACTTAGCCCAGGGTATCTATCAAATCCTCCTTATGACACCTTCTTCACCTTCTTTGTTTGTCTCTAAGAAATTCTGTCCCCTTGTTGGTGACTGCATAGGAGCTCAGAGTTATGGATTCTGTATAATAAAAACTTGTTGTTGGAGTTGCCTGCTAAAGACACATTTTTCTGAAAAAAAATCTTGTTGTTTGATGGGAGAAAGAAGAGTGTTGGTTGGAGTTCTTTCATGCTGAAATGCCTTTCCAGCATATCTCTACAAATAATTTTTTAAAATGGCATATTTATGCTCAAGTCCTTAAGGGCATAAAATTGACATAAGCTCAAAGGCTTATGTCAATTAAATTTGAGTCATTTATTGGTCAGCATTTCACTGGTAGCAAATGAGGAAATTTTAACTGCCCCTACGAGTTCTGGTTTCTAGGTAACTTCCTAGAGGGTTCACTCATCTCAGCTTTGTTAGCATGCTATTATTTACAGATACCAATTTTTTATTATACAGAGCCTAAAACTGAGTTCTCTGCTTAGTTTGCCAAAGTCAGTTTGTCTACACTTTTTATACAGGACTTAACTCACTTTAGCTCTTTCTTCTCCCCTGATTCCCAGTTTTAAGTCCTTTTTTGAATTATTTGAAATGGAAATAATCAGTAATCACAGAGGTAGAAAGGCAATCAGTCCTTAATTTTTCATCGTTATGTAGTGGCAGAGCTGCTGAACATGTGTTTTAAATTACTTGTCTAGAATTTCTGATTGTATTTAACAATCCAAATCATTAGGTCTAAACGACTGTTGTTTTAAGCATGTCTTTGTTTCTAGCGTCTTGCTCTAGCCCTCCTCACAGATAGCAAAATAATGGAACATTGGGAAAGATAGCTATGAAAGCAGATAAATCCTGCCTCCTCAGCATAGCAAAAGGAGACTTTGCCTATCTGTCACCGTAAAGGGAACGACTGCATATCTGTGTGCAAAGAAGTTATGGATTTCAGGCATCTTTTGGAGAATTTGGTTTACAAACTCTTCTGATCCAGACTAGCCACATTAGCTTGATATAGCTATCATTACATGTGATCTCTCTTTAATTCATTTTTTCTTTTTTTTTCAGCTTGCCATGAAGCACAAATGCTGAAATACTGCCCAAAGTGGAAATCTTCCCGAGAGAAACTGAAAAGGCTACTTCAGCAACTTTTACAGGAGATCCAGACTTCCGTGTGCTTTTTTCTTCCAGTTCAGTGGGGATGCATTCTTTCAGTTTCTGTGCAGGAAAAAGTGTTGCATTTCTACCTTTTTGACTTACTTTTGTTCCTCTTTTGTAATATTGCTACACAGTCCTGCAGTACTTTCTACCTGCATTTCAGTTGTTAGAGGGGTGAAAGCAAACAGGGGAACTGGACCAAATGACAAGCTGATCAGGATTAAAATAGTAATAGTCTTACCCAGTTGTACAGAAAATTATTTAACTGGTTGTGGACATATGTGTGGAAATAAAATCCAAAGAAGGGGTATACTTTTCTTCATTTTATGTAGCATCAGCAGAATGTGAATGTTGGAATTAAACACCTGGGTTGTAACTATAGTGGAGAATAGACTACTTTGTCCTGGGAAACAGAAAAACTCGTTTCTTCCACCCAGTGTAGGAAGTTTTGCATGTGCTATCACCAGCATTTAGAAGTGCATATCTGAATTTCATAGGGAAATCTGTTACCAGTGCTGCATTTTGAATATTCCTATTTTCCCTTCTGGATTGGTTATTTGAATCGTATAATGAAACCTACAGAATGTATGCTTGAGGTTTCAAAATTGAGGAAAAAAGTGATTTTTACATCTATACACACATCACTGTGCCTCAAACACAGTCTAGAATTTACAATCTGGTATAAAATAACATTTCATTTTCTTTTTACCTGTGATTCTGTGGCTAAAGACCTATGTAAATGAGAATGCAAAGGCCTGGGAAAATGAGAATGTACTATTTTCCAAGTCATCTGTTTTTCATAAATTCTACAGTAAGAATTTTTGGGAACACTTCAGAAATTTGTCTGATTTAGAATGACTTTTGTGTTAGCTAGTTGTCTGATTTTTTTAAATAGAGGCTTTCAAAAAGCATGTCTTGGTACATTAGAATCATAACTTCTAGTTTGGGTCTCAATTTTCAATATATGTTATCGCTGGAAGGGTGACTCCCTACTTCATTCTGTATTCACTATATGCAATATATGCACTGTATTCTCTTACAAAAATAAGTAGGTTACTCTTTTCCTTCACAGCTGTTTTCTTAATGTTTTTAAGATGTTCTGAATCACTTCTTGAATGAAGAAAAAAAGAAAAAAAAGAAAGATGCTGCACTTTTGTTTTGTTTTAACCAGTAAGCTAGAAGCAGAAATCCTAGCAGAAGTTTTAGCCTTCATCTTCTGAAGATGCCTGCTCTTCATTTTTGTCCTCATCTTACCAGAGAGCCAGAAAGCTGGCTTTATATGAATGTACTGTAGTTTTCATTTTCAATGTAGAATAAGATTTTTTGCATTATTAATGACACTTTAAACAGCCTGAAATCCTCAGAGCAGTGCTTGTAAAAGAGATAAAAGCTTCTGTAGTATTTGAGAATATTTTAGTTACTGCAAGCTGAAGTAACTGAAAACCTCTTGGAAATACCCATTTTGTAAAAAGATGCTTGGCTTTAGGAAAACATTCTCATTTGAACTAAGGACACTGTCTAGTTAACTGACTGCATTCAAACTTTATGTCTGTTTCTTTTTTCCTGTAATTTAAACTGTTTTGTATGAAGCTTTTTATTTAATTTCACACTGGGAATTGAGAGAAGGGGTAGATTTGTCATCTGTCTAGTACCATACGATCATTTAGATCTATTTAGCATCAGCTCTAAAGTTACTACGTCCAGCACTGCCAACTGAAAAGGAATTTAGCCACATCTGTTATAAATCAGAACAGACTCATTAACGACATGAGTTCTGAACACTCCGTTGAGCTATGTACAATTAATGCTTGCCCTGGAAATGTCAGTGGCTTTCTGAGCACTGTTGTAATGGCTATGGGTATTTCTGCAAATTAACCAGGAAAACAGTCCCTCATTAGAAATTAAACTTCTGCTAGAGACAAAATGTTAGGCTGTTTTTTAAAAATAGCTGCATTAGAAATCAGTCAGGGAGTACATTTTTGACCACATAGCTATTTTCTGTCATCATCTTTTCCACTCTTACTTTTTTAACTATATCCTGCTGCTAACCTCACAAGTCTTTCTTTTAAGGAAGGAATAGGTTTTGAACTGCTGCCATCTAGCTGGTCATCGAAGCTTGTCAATAATTTAGAAGAAATGTCTAAAACCCAGATCAGATAAACCTGAAAAGAATTAGTCGTCTAAATTCAGATAAAAAGGCATAGGTTTTCAGGTGTTTACATGAATATCAGCTGGACAGGACAAGGTCACAGTTGCACTGCTAAGTTCCAGACCTTCTGTGAGTTGAACTGTTCTAAAACATTACTTTAGTCCCACTGACAGTTTTTCAGCATTTTTTTAATATCCTTCAGTTAAGTGTATTGTGTTATGTATCATAACTCAGGACTTTTATCCAACCATCAGAAGCCATTTACTATGGGAATTCTAAGTAACCTAGTGTTATTGAATGAAGGAAAAGCGGTTTGTGTGTTTACTTTGTTCTTGCTGTTCATTAAATGACAAGATTTGGTAGTTTTTAGAAAAAAATCAGAAGTGTATAAATGTCTATCCAAAGGTAAATCTTACAGTATTGCAATTTCCTTCTGGAACTTAGCTTGTAGTGTATACAGCCTAGTATTATTAGATAGTCATGTACATAACACATACTATAATTCAGGTTAATGTTTCATATGAAAGAATGTATTTGTAAATTGTAACAACATCAATAGTTTCTTTATCTTTTTTAAGTTCTGCAAAGAATAAAAATGATGTATTGTTAGACTTGACTACTGTACTGCAAACTCTGTCTTAAAAGGCTACTTTTGTGTCTAGCAAAAGTTGTGCATTATGTGAAATATTAACAAAAATGTGCTCTCTAAAAAGTAATCTTAAAGGTAGGTAGGTTTTGCTATGATATGCCAGAATTGTAATACTTGCTGGTATCTATTGTAACCAATTCCTTGAAAGTTCTCAAAGATGTAGAAATTATTTTGTGCCATTCTGGGGAAAAAGAAGTGGGACCTGCTCTCTTGAGTCATTACTGGAAACCTTGATTTTGTCATTAAATACTTTAACTGTGATGAAAAGAAAACTGTCCTTGGATTATTTGAGTTGTCAATATATAAATTATTTCTGAATGACATTTTTATATTTCACTCTAGCAGAATTATATTTCACTCTAGCAAAACTGAATAAAAATTAGTTTCCACTGTAATGATGAAAACTTTCTCTAGAAAGAATACTGTAATTAAAAAAGTAATGGGAACTAGGTGGAAGGATTTCATGTCCAAGCAGATTCCAGACAACACTTAACACAGGTTTAAGTTAGCGTCCTACCTAAAGGCTGTACAGGTTAAAAAGAACTTCTGTGTGTGTTTGCTTTCAGTTTGCTATGAAATGCTTATTCTCAAATTGTTATTGTTTTCTTTTGGCCATCTAATTTTATTGATAAATTTTAATCAAAGCAAAAGCAATTTTAATTGCCCTGTGGGAATAAAACTATAAAGGCAGAATTCTTCTACACAGAGAGAAGCAATCCCATATATTCGAATGAGGGCTACTTGCAGAAGGATCGTATCGAATATGAACTGACTTTGCTGCCATCTCTTTTTTCAGGCTTAAACGTGGTCCCTAAGATCCTAATCTCAAAAGTGTCCAGTTGACAAATATTGTCAACTGGTTAAATTACTTTAGTTACTAGGTAAATTTTGCTAGAATGCATGTCATCCGTCCGATGTTGAATGCCACACGTGCCTAATGCCCAAACTGTATGAAAGTTTTAGGAAAAGAAATAGATCTCTGGTGGATCAGAAGCAAACTTGATCAGAACAGCACTTTGTTGTAGTTCACACATAACAATTTGGCAGTTCTTTTCCATCGTTATTGTACATTTATCCTGTAAGAATAGAAAAATAAAACGTTTGGTTCATTTTCTGAGCATTTTTTTTTAGATCAGTTTCACCATGTTGGCATTTTTTTCTTGATCTTACAATTTTCGTAAATCATCAGTCTAATCTGCTGCTGTGTATAATTTATGATAAAGATGATGGGGTTTTGTTTGTTATCTTCAACTCATGGAAGAAGCTCAAGCATGAATGTTTACTGATTCAATATATTAGGATTTCTAAATGGAAGATATGCTAGTATGTTGAGTGTGTTGGAGAATATTGTTGCTGCCACACTCCTGAATATTTAACTGAGAAAATCAAACGAAGATGCCCGTCACCTTCAGCTGCAAGTCACAATATCAATGAAGATATATACTACTACAAGTAGTTAGCTGACCAGTAGACCTGTCCAGTACTCGCTAAGGATGGCAATGTCTCAGATTAAAAATTGCTTTACTTTTTTTCAAAATTAGTCCCTCATGGATGTGGTCAGCTATCAGTGGGGTAATGCCATGAACTTACATAAACACTAATTTTTCCAATGATTGTGAAACCTCAGCATCCACTTCATAGCACATTGTTTCAGCTTGTTTTGTGAATCATCTGGAAGCACTGTGTGGTAGTAGATATATGTTTCAATTACACCTTTTTTTTTTTAATTATTTGAGTTGTTACTATTTTTTTTGTCTGCTGTCACCTCATGCAATCCGAATTGTGGTAACATTTTTTAATAGATAATTAACGTGATGGTGGCTAGCTTTGGCAGGGGTTGACTAGGGATTACAGGCACAAAAAGTAATTTACTATTTATTTTCACAATGACTGAGCAACTCGTGTAAAGATAGTGTTACATGGAGGCATAGTAGTATGGCAGATCTTCAGTGTTAAGGTCAAATATTCAGGGAATAAAAGGGTACAACAGTAAGCTTGTTAGCTACGGAAGTTGCATGGCTTTAGAAGTGTAGAGAATAGGCATCTAACAAAATTCTAATTGATATTTTAAACAATTTCACAGGTCTCTGGTAGCTAAAATGGTGACAACTTTTGCAGAGGAACTAAAGTTCAAGCCTGTATTGTGTTGAAATTCTGTTGCTGCTAAAGATGGGAGCACAAAGAGTTTTCTTCTGTCTTAAGTGTTCTCTTCTGGATAGAACAGAAAGGAAACGTGATGAAAATAAACCAGAAAATTTTGGTAGTGTTTCACACTATATCAAAAAGGAAATCTTCCACATATGCAACTAACATTAATCAACATGCTGGTTCGCAGCCAAATCAGTGAGTTGGGCTTTTTTCCTATTTCAGAAAAAAGAATACTGTAAAGCTTTCTTTGGATTAGCATGATCAGAAAATAAGGATTTCTACAAAAAGTGCATTTACTTGTGGGAAGTATTAAGATTTTAATGAGAATTCTTCTTTCCAAAACCTTTACCAGTTCTATTAAATACAGCATCTGGAAACACTGAAGTCAGCTGTGAGATCCTTACTGTTGTAGTTATGGTTGGCACTCTGATAAAAGGCGTTTACCTTTAAGAATAGATGCTGCATTCGTTTGCTTGAGGCTTGTAAGAGAGTTTGGTTCAGTCGGAAGCATCCCAATATTGCTCTTTAGGGATAAGGAAGTGTAAGCACTGTTTGTGCTGCAAATCAACAGCAGCTAAATTCTGAGGTGAGGGTGGGCAAGATGAGGGAAGGGTTGGAGACTTCTGGGTCACGCAGAGGTGATGAAGTGACTGCCAAGTGAGCCCTGTGATGATGCAGCTCCCAGGGAAGAGGAGAGCAGTGCTGGAGGGCTTGCCATTAGTGTTTTCTCACAAGCGGGTAGAGAACCGTCTGCAATTTTAGCAACGAGTTCTAGCAACTTTTCTTCAGGACAGTCCTGAGGGGTTTTAAACCTACGTATAGAGAAATGTGAGTACCCTTGGGTTTTATCTTACCTGTTCTTTTCTGTTGCTTCCCATGTGCAGTTGTTCAGCATTTCAGACAAGCTGAAAAGAGGTCTGTTAAAAGTCGGAGCACTCAAACTGCATGGCAGCTACTATTCTTCACTGAGGCCGTGAACAATTGCAGAGCTGCCAGTGTCTGACTGAAATAATATCTGTACCTATAGGATCACTTGTCAGACAAATGGCTCAGAAAGGTACCATTTATCTGCCAGGCAAGGTTTCATAGCTCTTAGCATCCGTTCATGAGGGGTCACTCATTAACTGTTAGCTATTGCTAATTACCTCAACTT